TACTTCATAGACTGAGTAAAGAACTCAGTTTGGCAGCCCTTTTCGTTTATAATTGAATCCGAGCATTTTTCCCTCATATTTTGCTCAACTCTATTCTTCCTTACACATATATAGTATGTATTTTATTCATTCGTATGCATCATGAGTGGCTAAATATCTAGATTTAGGTTTCACAAGACCTCTGATAATTTATATACTGAGTTTGCTATATATCTAGATTTAGGTTTTCGAGTGGCTAAATATTGTTGGTTTCCATATACGTTGCTACAGGTCCAGGTCCTAAATGTAATTCATATAAAGTGTATGTTGATTGAGATTTCCAATATTTGAAGCCAAGTCTGGTCAGTTTGGCTGAGCAAAGATGCACTCCAGATTTTAGAGTACATTTGGTCAACTGGGACAAACAATTTCTGTTGAATGTTTAAGATTGCTGCTTAGTTACTTTGGGTGTTGTAGTTTCCTGTCTTTTAGATGTTAAGACTTAGATGTTGATTATATTATTCTAAAAAGATGTTTTAGTCAATTGACTAAAGTGTCTGATTATAAAATAATATCATCAATTAAGTTTGAATTTTATGTCTATGTTTTACTTAATTAAATTGAATTCGTATCTCCCAATTTAAATCTACCAAGGGCTGAATCTTTCCTTTATTATAAGAAACTGATGATGTATTCTTTGATCTTTGTTACAGGTAAAGAACCGCTAATCTATCCTTAATAGTCATATGTCTTTTAATTCATTTGTGTGGTTTCTCTTCTCCTTTTGGAAGATAGCATTGATATTAGTTTGGATGAGGACATTGTGACTAAAACTTCTCTTATAATCTTTACTTTTGTCATAGGGTTATGGTTGTTGTAAGTAAAGGTTTGGGGTACGTTGTGCCTACTAATTGTTGGTCAGCTGTTAGCTCTTTAGCAATGGTTGTTTGGGATGACCCTAATCCTATGGTGAAATAGCAGTCTAGGTAAGCATTTGATGAGTCAGAATATGATGTAGAAATCATAATTGAAGACCATGCTCTATCTATTATGGTCAATGAAAAGGATTTCCAAACTACAAAAGATGCTTCAGCGGCTCAAGAATCGAATGCAGCAGGCTGTATACAAATCATTTTGGTGGCCCTTTTTCCCATAGAGGTGTGTCTTTTGTCCTATGATTAGGTAACACACTACGTGCATTGACATGCTATTGGTATTTGAATTTGTTGGTTGGATGAATTTGAATTGAATTCCAGTGTTGTGAAGATTACCACAAGTTACTATTGCTATTTGTCAATGTTTTTCATATGTTTTTTTTGGCTATCCTTGGAGTATGATTGTGAAGGTTACATCAGGTTAGTACAGTTGCTAATTCCCAAGGACTTTGCATATATATATATATATATATATATATATATATATATATATATATATATATTTATTTATTTATTTATTTATACACACACACACACACTTTTTTTTGCCTTTCTTTAGAGTATTTAAGAGAAGCTAATACCAGCTGTACTTTGTTTTAAATTTGAAGAGTAGGACATAATAAACTAGCTGATTAGTGCAATATCAGATTCGTATTGGATTTTTCCGTGAGTATTTACTAAACCAGATCACCATTTTGCAGGTGTGTTGTTCTTGTTCTGTTCTTGATTCACAACGATCATTTCAGGATTTATTGGCTTTGTGCTGGCAGGTGGGAGATTCAAGTTCAATGCACAAAGATTCTCAAGGATTGGGTTCCTCACTTGTTCCTCTGTAGGAGCAACAACCTGTACCATAGGAATAGGATGGATTAAAGAGGCAGGCATGTAGATTATGCAAATTGTAAGGAAGATGATGTAAATATTAAATCCTTAGATGTTAATAATATTTTAAATGTATGAATTTTTGTTCAATATATTGTATTTTTTGAATTTATATTTATTTGGTAATCAACACAAGATAAAAGATGTCTAATAAAAAATTCAACTACCATTCAAACTAATAGTTTGAAAAGTATATGTACAACTACACAAATGCGTAGTGTTAATAACATTTAGACAATCAAAACAAACAGTTGTTTGAAATACCACAAAAATAGTAGTTAATATTTTTAAAATACAACGTGAAATAATAGTTGTTTGCAGCAAATTTTTTTAGTAATCTTTAGAGTAGATGTCTGATAAACAATTCAACTACTGTCATAAAAAATAGTTTGAATACTTCAAGAAAAACTACAAAACACCGTTGTGTTAATAATCAATATACAACTAAAACAAATAGTAGTTTGAATAAGAATAATGTTAGTAGTCCATATTCTAGAAATACAACAAAAGATAACAGTTGTCTTATGTTATTTTTGTTTAGTAGTCTTCCGAGCAGCAGTCTGATATATCTTTCAGTTACTTTTTAAAGTAAATGTCTATATTGTTGAACGACAACACCAAGAATTAGGAGTCTGAAGTTAAAAACAACAGTAGTATTCATTATAGATAGACAACAAAAAATCACAGTTCTCTTTAACTCTAAAAAACAGATGTCTTACTCATACATGGACAACACTAAAAAGTCGTACTCTAAAACATTACAAAACAGGTGTCGTCAACCATTTTACACAATTGTTTTTAAACAATAGTCTGTAAATATATCAGACAGCTGCTCGGAAGACTACTGAAATCAGCACCAAGAGACTACTAAAAGAAACAGTTGTCAGCATCTGTTTTTGACGTAGTGAGTGTTGATTCAAGTCGCACTTTGGTACTTGGTAAAAGACGAAAGAACAAACGAAATATATATGACTCATTGATACGATATCAACGTGCTCATCGCTTTGCGAGAATAATGAAACAACGAATTTATTTGCGCCGCAAGGCTGCATGGGAACGTGATGACCTAGAAGAGACATTCAGCGTAGACTCTGCAAACAGCGTGTGCGGATCAGGCGTAGAAGACCAAGCTGTAGATTCGTCACGATCCAACCAATCGAACAAAAACAATTAGAAATTATCTTGTTGATCATTTCAAATCCATTGATTGTATCGACTGTTGTAATCCTTTGCAATTTCTATCTTAAACTCAACTACTGAATAAAAGAATCCTAATAAAGGAATTTCTGTTATTGTAGAATGAGTCAAGAATCTGCCCACGAACAAGGCAACAACAATGAACACGTCAGTGTTCATACTGAAGCATCTAGTTTTACCCCTCCCGTCCAAAATGAACCCGTCATTCAACAAAATGTTGGGAATAACCCAAACGCTGGCGGTCAACCTGACCTTGTGATTCCAACTTTTCTGGCTAATGTGTTACAACAGATAGCCAACGCACCAATATTTCAACCACCTCCACCACCGCCACCTCGTGTAATAACCTACAAGACACTAAGGGATAACGGTGCCGAAATATTCCTTAGAGATCGTATCGCGGAACCCCAGGTCGCGTGGGACTGGATCGAGCAAACTGCTCGAGTGTTGGAGGATTTAAATGTACTAATTGATAACTATCCTAGGCTCGCTTCTCAACTACTACGCAAGGAAGCCTACGAATGGTGGAAGAGAACTGACGAAAGTGCAGAAACCCCGAAACCTTGGACTTGGACCCATTTCGAGTGGGCATTCAAACAAGAATATATTCCCAAACGTTTTTGTGAGGAAAGACGTAAGGAATTTGTGGAACTGCAACAAGAGGGTATGACACTACCCGAGTACCGTCAGAAGTTCACTCGTCTTGCCAAGTTTGCACCAACATTGGTGAGCACCCCAACAGACCGCATCGAAGAGTTCAGGAATAAACTTCGACCTGACCTTAGGTCGAGAGTATCCATCTTGACCACGGTGGATTTTGCGGCGGCTTACGATCTAATAGCCAAGGCAGATAATGACTTGAATGCCTGCAATGAGTATTTGAAAATAAACAATCCGAGTCCTAGTACTCATCAACCCACCAATTCTGTTTCGAAGGGAAAAAGGCCTTTCTAAGGAGCTAGCAATTCACATTTCTCTAAAAAGGGTAGATCTGTACAAACTCAGCCGATGGAATCCGTTGATAAGTCCAGAAAGCGGAGATATCCTGCTTGCGAACACTGTGGGAGAAATCACCTGGGAGAATGCTGGCTTAAACAAGGGTTATGCCTCGGCTGTGGAAAACCAGGACATTTCAAAAAGGAGTGCCCTACAAATCCTGGAGAACCATTTCCATATACCCCCATTGCTAGTCAGTCGGCATCAGCACGACCCGCACCAAGTCAACGCTCAACAGCGGGGTTTAAACCAGCCAAGAATCAGAACCAACAACAAGGACGAGCTCCTGCTCGTACATATGCAATGAAGGCACGAACTGAGGAAAACCCTGACGTCATTCAGGGTATGTTTTCCTTATTTGATACTGTCATGCATGTGTTGATAGACCCTGGATCAACGTTGTCTTATATCTGTGTACATATGCCTGAAAACGCTGGAATAATGAATGAACATTTTAAACAACCTATACTAGTGTCTAACCCGTTAGGACATAGTATCAGGTTAAATCATGTATATCAAGACTGTCCATTGATTGTTGAAGGGCATAAGTTCTCTGCCAATCTTGTCGAACTACCGTACAAAGAATTTGACATCATCATTGGAATGGATTGGCTCACCAAACACCAAGCAGTTATCGATTGCCAACAACGAACGATCCAACTAAAGTCTGCAAAAGGAAAGTCTATAGAGGTGAAAGAAAAGCTAACACCTAGATCCACTGAATGCATCTCGTACGTACATGCTAGGCGTCTCATTCGGAAGAAAAGCTTATCTGTGTAACATACGTGACACACGAAAGGAAACTCCTGAGTTGAAAGATATACTGACAGTATGTGACTACCCTGACGTATTTCCTGGCGAACTTCCTGGAATTCCATCTTCTAGAGAAGTAGAATTTTCCATCGATCTTGTTCCTGGGACAGGACCGATCTCTGCAACTCCTTATCGCATGGCCCCTGCTGAAATGAAAGAGTTGAAGGCTCAACTACAAGAACTGCTCAATAAAGGATTCATACGTCCAAGTGTTTTCCCTTGGGGAGCACCTGTTCTATTTGTCAAAAAGAAAGACGGCTCGATGAGACTCTGCATCGACTACCGTCAATTAAACAAAGTCACAATCAAAAATTGATATCCTTTACCTCGTATCGATGACTTATTTGATCAGCTTAGAGGATATACGGTATTCTCTAAGATTGACTTACAGTCAGGATACCATCAAATCCCGGTAAAGAAAGAGGACATCCCAAAGACTGCGTTCCTTACTCGTTATGGTCATTATGAGTTTACGGTGATGCCCTTTGGTTTGACCAATGCTCCAGCAGTATTCATGGATCTCATGAATAGTGTATTCCGACCTTATCTTCACCAATTCGTGGTTGTATTCATCGATGATATTCTTGTCTATTCGAAGAATCGAGAAGATCATGCGAAGCATTTGGAGATAGTACTCAGCGTACTACGAGAACATAAACTGTATGCCAAACCGTCAAAGTGTGAATTCTGGCTTAATGAAGTTACATTTTTGGGACATGTGATTTCTAAAGAAGGTGTTAAAGTGAACCATAGTAAAATATCTGCCATCACCGAGTGGAAGGTTCCAAGGAATGTTCGTGAAGTGAGAAGCTTTCTAGGATTAGCTGGATACTATCGACGATTTGTTGAAGGCTTTTCCTCGATCGCAACTCCACTTAACAAACTTCTCAGAAAGGATGTAAAATTCGTATGGACCGATGCATGTCAGCAAAGTTTTGAGGAACTAAAGAAATGTCTGACAGAAGCACCTATACTGACACAACCGGTACCAGGTGTAGACTACACAATCTTTAGTGACGCATCCCATAATGGCTTGGGATGTGTACTCATGCAAGATGGAAAAGTCGTGGCATATGCATCAAGGCAGTTGAAACCTCACGAGTGTAACTATCCTACTCTCGATCTTGAGTTAGCAGCAGTTGTATTTGCCCTGAAGATATGGCGTCATTATCTCTTTGGAGAGACGACATATATTCACACAGACCATATGAAATACCGGCTAACTCAAAAAGACTTAAACCTGAGACAAAGAAGATGGTTGGAATTGATCTAAGACTACGACTGTTACATCGACTATCACCCTGGCAAGGCTAATGTTGTTGCTGACGCATTGAGCCGAAAGATTATAGCTGAACTCCGAATCCAACTTACTCTTGAGAACGAAATTCACATTGCACAAAAACGTGATGATTACTGTTTGAAGACTTGTGAACTTGTCTCTAAGGGGGAGAGACAAGATTTCACTGTAAATGATGGAATTTTATTCTACCAGAATCGTTTGGTAGTTCTTAGTGGCGAAGTGAGGGAACGTTTAATGCGTGAATCTCACGAAACCGCATATACCATGCATCCTGGAAGTAATAAGATGTTCCAAGATCTAAAGAAGACATATTGGTGGCCCACAATGAAGCGAGAAATTTCTGAATTTACAACACGATGTCTGACAAGTCAACAAGTCAAGGCTGAACACCAAGTGCCAAGTGGGAACGAATTACGATGGACTTTGTGATTGGACTTCCATTATCGGCTAAGAAAAATGACGTTGTTTGGGTAATTGTTGACCGATTAACCAAGTCATCTCATTTTATTCCTATTCGGCGTGATATGTCACTAAAGAAATTAGCGGAGTTGTACATTCGTGAGATCGTAAGATTACATGGTGTACCTTTGTCTATCATTTCTGATTGTGACCCGCGATTCACGTCACAATTCTGGAAGAGTTTGCAGAAAGCCCTAGGTACTAAACTCAACTTTAGTACGACATTTCACCCTCAAACTGACGGACAATCTGAACGAACAATCCAAATCCTCGAAGATATGATGAGAGCATGTGTAATTGATTTCAGAAGCAACTGGGAAGAATACCTACCATTAATGGAGTTCGCTTATAACAACAGTTATCAAGCAAGTATCCAAATGGCCCCGTACGAAGCCTTGTATGGGAGACGTTGTAGAACCCATTATGCTGGACAGAATTAAGAGAACAGAAGCTTGAGGGACCTGATCTCGTCCGCGAAACTGAAGAAAAGGTTCGTCTCATCAGAGAAAGACTGCAAGTGACTTCCGATCGACAAAAGTCTTATGCCGATTTGAAATGTAGAGAGATTGAATACAATGTTGATGACAAATTGTTTCTGAAAGTCTCACCATGGAAGAAAGTGTTACGTTTCGGTAGGAAGGGAAATCTAAGTCCAAGATATATTGGACCCTATCGAATTATTGAACATGTGGGTCCAGTAGCCTATCGGTTAGAACTTCCACCAGAACTGAACAAGATCCATGACGTATTCCATGTATCGATGTTGAAAAGATATCGTTCTGATCCATCGCATATCTTGACCGAGGGAATTGTGACTCTTGATGAGCAGTTGACTTATGAGGAGGAACCTTTACAAATTCTAGCACGAGAAGTCAAACAATTGAGGAATAAATCTATACCTCTAGTCAAAGTACTATGGAGGAATCACTCGACTGAAGAGGCAACATGGGAAACCGAAGAGTCAATGAGAATGCAATATCCGAATCACTTCAATCAATGACTCAGGTAATTTCGAGGATGAAATTGTTTTAAGGGGGAGAGAAATGTTACGGCCCGAAAATAGGCCTTTCAGAATTAATTAATTAATAATTAATTAATTATTGAGAAGGACCTAAAATAAGTAAATTATAAAGTTTGACAATAATTGATGAAAATTATATTGCTGTGTAGAGTTTGACTGTCTGACTCCAACGGTTCAATCGGATTTCAATTTGGAGAAAGTTGGACCAAAAAGTGTTCCCCGATTGGGACCAATTTAGTCCCAATCAGGGACTTACGTTTAGAATCGGAGAAGATAGCAGCCTACTCCACTCAGCCGCCGAAACAGTCGCAAGGAGGTCATCACCGTGTCTGCTTCCTCTTCACTTAGGCTATTTAAGGACCACCTCTTCCTACCCAATTCTTCACCATTTCTTCCCAAATTGCTTCTGAGAGTTCGCTTTGAGTGTGTAGAACACAGTGGTGCTGTCATCTTGGTGTGAGGTCGCCGGAGTAGTGAGATAGAGTCGCCGGAAGTTTCGCCAGAAAATCGTCAAAACCTTCCTTACGCTTCAAGGTAAGCCCGTTGATATATCTAATGACTAGAATGTTCGTATAGATCGTTTCTACGTTCATAAATGGTCATTTGGTTGAGTTTTATGTTTGACATGTTTAAAGAACCAAGAAACAAAAACGTTGAAATTGTTGTTAAAACTACGAACTAATGACACTCAAATGATCTATGAACATTGGGGAACATTTCTGTACATTTAATTGAAGTTTGGTGAACTAAAAATGAAATTTCCAAAACCAGGCCCGAGGAGGAAGACGATGAACAGTGCACGGTAGACCCCTACCGCCGATACGGTAGATAAGTACCGTCCAAACGGTACCAACCTACCGGCGGAACGGTACCGAGGTACCGTGAGCCGGTACCGAGGTACCGTGAAGGGTACCGTCTGATCCGATTATTTTCTAGAAAAATTTGATTTTTGAGTTCTAAAATCCTATTTTTGATACTAACTGATTATGATTATTATAATAATGATTTTTCATAATAAGAATGATGTTTTTAACAAATTAAAACATTATGTGATGCATGACGGTAAATTCGGGTGTTAACACTCGAGACTAGACCGCTATTTGTTATTAAATGTGTGTTGATTGATCATTACAATGAATAATTACTATGGATGATTATGAATGATAAATGATAAGTTCGTTTTGTGCTTATATTTTTACTCATATTTAATACGTTCTTGTATCATTTTAATTATCAAACTAGTCAATTATTTATTATTTTTATCAAAAATATATGTTTTGGTAAATTGATAATAAAAAGAATGTCTTTGAAGTAATATATAAAATTGGGCCAAGAATAGAGTAAAAAGAGTAAATTTTGATAGAAAAACAATTCTATCTCACAAACGGTGCGGAATTAGAAGTCGGTGCAGAAGGAAAAAGTGTTCAGAACGAGATTTTAAGCAGGATAGCATTGACGGACCAGGGCGGGACAGTAGACGGCTTGGCCAGCGGCAGCCTACCTGGTGAGTTTCCAGATGGTTCCAGCGGCCCGCCGGCGGGCTGGCTGGCGGCCGCCAGTCTGCTCGCCGGTCGGTGATCCTCTCCTATAAATGGCCAGCGCGGATCCTCCCTTTTCCCAGGCTTCTCCAACTGCGATTTTCCCCTTTTTAGGGGTGAAAATTCTCCCTTTTGATTTTTAATATTGTACGGAGTATTAAAACTGGGTGTGTTCAATTTCATCATCTTAAGTTAATTATGAAGTCTTTGAAGCACTAGTGTTGATCTGAAGGTTTGTGCGATTTGTATTCCGTTCTTCAAAATTTGTAAGCTTTCTTGTATACTCTTATTTTATTAATAAAATTATCTTTTATTACTTAGTTTAAATTGTGAACTAATGGCTTTTAGTGACTAAATTTATACTTAGGTATGAATTGAATTAAGGGTATGGGCTAATGATTAGTATTTAAAATTAAGTTAGTAACTTGATTAATTTGATTCAATTGTCTAAAATGAGATTCACTAATTAATAGATCTGGCCAATTTATTAATTAATCTTTGGAGATTATTTATCTAGCTTATCTAAGAGTTAAGAAAAATAATCTAGCCAACCATATTTAGACACATTAATGACGCCTGAAAAATTGATAAGTTAATGATATAAAATCAAATTAATTAAGAAGTTAAGTTAATCCAAAATTATTATCTTAGCCCATATACCTGTTCGATTCGTACCTACTTCTAAATTATTGATTGTGTGTTATGTCCGTGTTCCGATCTTAACTCCTCAAGTTATTTT